CTCTACAGTGAACCACATCTCCAGCCCATATGGATGGTTTAGAGACTAAAGCAATCGTAGAACAAGTGGCAAGAGGTGCTCATTTCCTGAATTTCTTTAGGCAATAGAATTTACTGGTGCTTACTTAGATGGGAATGTAAAAACAGGAATTCAAAGGTCGTGCTAGGTTTTTGGCCCAAGTGTTTATTTAGAGAGCAAAAACTGACAGATCAGACTGTTAATCCCACTCATGGACTAGTAAAGTAGTCACTTAACTATACTTTGTCTTCTCTTTGTTCTTGCTGTAGTCAGTTTTTCAAAAAACTTTACTAATGTGTTTTATTTTGCTATTGATGACCTCTATCTAGTTTCCTGTCAATGATAATGTCATTCTCTCTCTCTCTCTCTCTCTCTCTCTCTCTCTCTCTCTCTCTTTTTGGCTGAATAAAACTCCATTTTGCATATATACCACATTTTCTTTATGTGTAGATGGGCATGTAGGTTGACTGTGTAACTTGGCTGTTGTGAATAGTTCTACAGTAAACATGGGTATACAGGTATCTGTTGTATGATGATGTGGGTTCTTTCAGGAATATCTTCCTGGACCATATATGGTAGTTCTATTTTTTGTTTTTAAGACTTTTGAAATCAATACAGTTGGAATTATAGTCACATCTATTTTTAAATTCCAGTTAAAATACTTAAGATGAACATGCGGGTAATGGCACATGCCTGTGTTTCCTAAACTTGTGAGATTGAGGCAGTGAGTGCCAGGCTAGCCTGGGCTACACAGTAAGACTCCCCCTCTCCCTTCACCTGTATACTAATTTCCATAATGGTCATACAGTTTACATTCTCACCAACAGTATTTTCAGCGTTCCTTCCTTCTCCCCCAGTCCTTGATAACATTTCTTGTTTGTTTTCTTGACAATAATAGCCATTCTGACTGGGGTGAGAAGGAATCTCAATACAGTTTTACTTTGCATTTCCCTGATGGCTAAGAGTGTTGAATACTTTTTAATACATTTGTCATTCTTTTGTGAACTGTTTAGTTCACATGCCCACTTAATTGATTGGGTTATTTGTTCTTTTGATGTTTAATATTTTTGAATTCTTTACGTATTCTGACTACTAATCATCTGTCTCATGTCTAGTTGCCAAAGATTTCCTCCAGTTTTGTAGGCTTTCTCTTCACTCTGTTGATTGTTTCTTTAGATGTGCCAAGGCATTTTGCTAATGGCTTTTTTTTTTTTTTTAAGGGAGGAGGGCCTTCTTTGGTTCAAAGGTTTAGTCCATCATAGCAAGGAAAGCACGACGGAGTTAATGATAGGGAAACTTGTAGCAGAGATGCCACCTGTGGAGATGGAGGAAGCCTTAGTTAGTTCTTAGAGCACAAAGCTGACATTGTTAGTCTGCTCCCAGTTCCTCATTGCCTAGCCACTGAAGGATGAAGTCAGTTCATGTTGTTTAGATTAATTTACATGTCTGTAGGCTGTCATAAACTGGCTGTGATCTACATGTAGTGGTAGTTTTTGGATGTAAGATAGATACAGCATAGAAAATATTTTTTAAAAGGAGTCTAGGAGGAGGAGGATGTAAAAGTATTTGGGATTTATGGGGTAGGGATCAGAAAGACTTGAATACAGTTGGAATTACAATCACATCAATTTTTAAGTTTCAGTTAAAATACTTAAGATGAATCTAGGGGTGGTGGCATATTCCTGTCATCCCAGCACTTTTGAAAGTGAGGCAGGATTGTGAGTTCCAGGCTAGCCTAGGCTACATAGTAAGACCCTGCCTCAAAAAGGGAAAAAAATGTATATATGAATATAATTCCCCATATTTCTGTATAGGCTACCTTAGTTTCTGTTGATTGGCTAGGTGACCTCATGGGTTTGTGTGTGTATAGGTATGTGTATGTAGATTTGTGTGTTATATAGTGGGATATAATGAACAATTGACACAGAAGTGTCTGTCCTCTTGAAATTAGCAGTCTATTGGGGAAGAAAGTGGCTATATTTTTTTCACATCTTTTCACAGAAGACACAGACATTCTGTCATTTCCTGTATGTTTTGCTTTAGAATTTGTTAAAATAGTATTCTTTCTCATTTTACTGTTAGGGCTAGAATTTTTTTTTTTTTTTTAAACAGGGTCTCTCTGTAGCTCCAAGAGTCCTTGAACTTGCTATGTAGACCAGAGTGGCCTTGAACTCACAGAGATCTGCTTGCCTCTGCCTCTCGTGTGCTGGGATCGAAGGTGTGTGCCATCACACCCAGCTCTGAAATTTATTTTTGTATGTACGAAAGTGTAGCATGTGCATGCAGTACCCTTTGAGGTCAGAAGAGGGCATTGGGCCCACAGTAACTGGAGTTATAGTCAGTTGTTAGCCTCCATGTGGGTGCTGGGAACGGAACCAGGGTCCTGTGCAAGAGCAGCCAGTGCTCTTAACCTCTTGTCATCTCTTTAGCCTCTTGGCTGGAATATCTTAATTTCTATTTTAAATCTCTTAAATTGCTGGAATTTAATGAAGTTATTTTTTCCTCTTCCATATATAACAAATTGGGATTCAAACTTGGGCTAAGTATGCTGTATAGTTTGCTGTGCACTGACCATGATCATAAATATAAATGGAAATAAATGTGGCTTTCTAGTTTGAGGGAGTTTTAAAACTAAGTCAAATTGGCGATTGAAGAGGTGGCTCAGTAGTTAAGAGCACTGGCTGCTCTTGCAGAGAACCCAGGTTCTGTTCCCAGCACCCATATAGTGGCTAACCAACCATCTGTAACTCCAGTTCCAGATATCTGGCACCCTCTTCTGGCCTCCTTGGGCATTGGACAACATGGGCAATGCAAGCAATACACTCATACATGTAAAATAAAAAATAATAAATAAATAAATTAAGTCACCAAGAACTTCTTGCAGTAATGTACCAGTTGATATTCTTTTGGTTTTTCTGTACAAGATAACATGGCTTTATTATTACTGTTTTTTAAACATACAGATGATGTGTTAAATTCACATCAGACGAAGATAAGATTAGGTGTTGCTGTTGAGTATCAGTATCTTGAATCATGATTTTCACTAGAACATCAAAAAGATGTTAAACACATGATCTGTGCTGTTGGATTTTAAGGCCCAGTAGTCTCTTACCTTAGGATTTAGGTTGTAAAGCCATAGCACAATGTAATGTACACAGTTAAAATTATCTTTGAAAATATCCCATTTCTCACAGTCTGCTTCTCCACCCGTCACTTTAAAAAATATTTTATTATTTTTATTTTATGTGTATTTTTAAAGATGTAAACAGAACACCTGAATGTTCTGTTCAGTGCTTTCCACTGGCTTCCCATCTCACCCAATGAAAAGCCAGTTTCCACCATTGCCTGCAGGGGCTTTTGTGATCCAGACCCTGTTCTTTGATTGCGTTCTCTCCCGCCCTTTGATGTAGTCTCACTTCATTGGCTCTTGCTTCTTGCTGTTTCAGGTAAGTGTTCACTTCGGCCTTTTTTCTTTCTATCTGTTCTGCTCACTGAGGTCTCTTCCTCTTTACCCTTACCTTCTTTGGGATGCAACAAAAATGAAGCTTTCACAGACTATCCATTTAGAACATCACCTTCTCCTCTTCCACTTCTCTTCCTTTAGCACTTAGCACCATTTGACACACAATAAGGTGCTAATGTAGTGTCTTCCCCAGTACGTGTGGCTGTTTGATCCTGGCAGGGATTTATTGCCGTATTTAAATTATTGCTTAGATGAAGTAGGTGCTTAATTACTATTTCTTTTTAAAAACATTATTTTTGTGTGTATGAGTGTATTGCCTACATGTATGTAAGTGTACTTGTGTCATGCAATGCCCAAGGTCAGAAGAGGGTGTCGGATTCCCTGGAACTGAAGATACAGATAATTGTTAGCCTCCATGTGGGTCCTGAGATTTGAACCTGGGTCCTCTGCAGGAGCAGCCAGTGCACTTAATTGCTGAGCCATCTCTCCAGTCCCTGTTACCATTTCTTGGTGTATTAAAGTACATTGTAAATTTTCGCAGTATTTGTGATGCAGGTACACATGTATGTGCATGCACATGGAGGGTGCATTCTTCAACCAGTTCTCTGCCTTACTTTTTTTGAGACATGGTCTCTCTGAACCTGGAGCTCACAATTAGCTAGACTGGCTTGCCGGCACAGATTTGCTTCCCTAGCACTGCTGAGATTGCAGGCACACATCCAACTTTTTTTTCTTTTACGTGGGTACTAGGGATCCAAGCTTGGGTCTTCATGCTGTGTGGCAAGCACTTTACTGACTGAACCATCTCTCCAGCCTCCCACATTATCCTTTAAATACCTTACGTTTATGCATGAGTATAACAACTTAGGGTAGAGACACATAACAGTTGACTGCTGGACTCACAATCCTAATTTTCTGTCCAAGCAAGACCGTAAAGCATGAAGAACATCTTTAGAACAATCTTAACTTTTCTTAGCCTTTATATAGTCACATGATCACAAAAAAAAATATTGTAAGACAGTAAAGGAAACTGGGAAAAGGAGTTTTACTCATGTTTTCTTCACCAGAGTATAGCTTATTTTATTTCTTAAATTTCTTTACTATTTTTGCTTAGAATTGTTATGTTTTCCCCCCACAAGTTTGCAGTTCTGTTGATACCTTTATTCATAACGCTTAAGTAAAAAATGTTTGCTGATTCATATTGCTGGTATCATTTGTATAGAGAGGGATGTGGATTTTTCAGCTGTTTACAGTTTAAGTTGAAGAGCAGCAGGGACAACATGGGAGAGCTTGCACCATCACTCTTGCTCCTCAGTGTTTCAAATAATTTACATTGTCCACGGATATAATTTCAAGTCTTTTGTAAACTCTACAGCTTGAAATAGGATAAGATGAAATGCTCTTGTGGTAGGTATTTAAAAATGTTGTCTGTATGAATAAAATTGTTTAACGTAATTTAGCCTGTGAGGAGTGGTAGTCTCACTTTGAAATGTGTTTGTATGTTTGTTTTGTTTTATAGGAGATCATGAGTCAGGCAGATAAAAATCAAGAAATGCCATCATACCTTAGTGATGACCCTCCAGAAGGTAAGCATGTACCTCTGACACCAAGAATGGAAGGAGTGTACTAGTAAGTGAAAGCTCTCATCATTTAAAAAAATTACGGAATCATCGCCAGTTTATCTGGTCAGTAAATTGAAGACAAACATTTTTAGCCTCTATAAAAAGAAGTACATACCTTGGTGAATTGATGCCCAATTTCCATTATATACGTTGATTTTCTTTTCACATTTTTAAGACCATGTCACAACCAAAGAGGGTGTAAAGGGTGGGAGGTACAGGATGGACTGTTTATTTTTAATGTCCTGTACACCTTAAAAAAAAAAAAGGCTAACTCAAGAGGCCTTTTTTTTTTTTTTTCTGTTAAGTTCTTGTTTCTTGTAACATTATAGTTTGGTCTCTCTCTTTCTACAGTAATACATAGCTGTGGGGCTTGCTTAATTTCTAAATCATAACTCTTAGCTTGAAAATTGTGACATTTCTACATTCACTTCCAAAAGCCTCAGAAACACTCATTTGTTCATTCTCCCCCAGTGTCCTGACTCTATACAGAAAATGACTATAGTCATATTTGAGTTATTATCTCTCTTCCCAGTTCTGTTATCCCTGTCCCAATTTTTCTTCATATATTGGTAGGCACAAACAAAATTTTTTGAAAAATGAAAACAGGACATAAAAAATAAACACATAACTACACATACAATAAAAATTTAAAAAAAAGAAGAAAGAAAAGTTAGGTCTCATTGAGAATGAAGTTAGGATACAGGCCATCCAGAGTATGATTGTCCAGGAAGAAACAGAGCCTCAGGAGTGTCTTACACATCAGCTGCTAAGCAAGGGTAACTGCACAGCGCATACTTTATGTCATGGCACTTACAAGTACACTATAATTAAAGAGATGAGTGTATTAATATTTATCTTGTTGAGAAAAATCATCTTCAGTAAAGGCCTCTGAACCAAATTTGGCAAAGCAAGATAATTTTGCTAATGACGTATTTGTTGTGATGTACTCCTCTGTTACCCTCAAATTAGGGTTTTGCTTTTCCTCATGTTTTTGACCTTGATGACATAGTTACCCATTCTGTCATCTTTCTGTCATGATTTTATAATATATTCAAATGCTTCTGTGTATCTTAAGTCCTTTATTTTAGCCATTTAAAAATTTTATCAATTATGCTTAGTAGTTTCAAAACATCTGTATTTTTCAGACAATTTAGCCATTGCTATATCCTAATATCTGTGCACTATTTTGTTGTATTTTAAATTAGCATACAAAGTATTAGGTGTCATTACAGCTGATTTTCCTTCTCCCATACTTCTCAACCCTTTCCATCCTTGTCTTCCCCTCTCCCATCTCCTTTCTGCTTTTCAGGTCACATGTCCTTTGCCCCCCCCCATCCCAATATCTTTTTTACCCTCTTTTGTTGTCCTTTCTAGATTTTTAGGTTTTATACATATTTATTCCTCTGTGTACATGCGTGTGCATGTGCATGTGTGTGTATTATAAGCTAGGATTGAATATGAGAGCATGAGGTTACTGTCTTACCAAGTTTGGGTCTCCTTGCTTAATAAAATACTTTCCAAAGCCATTCATTTTCCTTCAGATTTTATAATTTCATTTTTCTTTACAGCTCAGTACAGCTCCAGTTGTGTAGGCACCACACTCTCGTTGTCCCATCGTCTGTCGGTGGGCATCTAGGCTGCTTCCATTTCCTTGCTATTGTGGCTAGAGCAGCAGTAAACGTGGATGTGCAATCTCTCTATGGTAGGATAGAATCCTTTGGATGTATGTCGAGGAGTGACATAGCTGGGTCACATAGTAAGTCTATTTTTTGGCTTTTGGGAAGTTTCTATATTAACTTCCATAATGGCTTTACTAGGCTGTATTCCCATCAGCAGTGAATAAGGGTTCCATTTTCCACACATCCTCACCAGCATTGTTACCAGTTTTGATGAAAACCATTCTGACTGGTGTGAGATCGTATCTCAAAGTAGCTTTAATCTGCATTTTCTTGTGGATAGGGCTGTTGAACATGTTTTAAAATATTTATTGGCCATTTGTGTTTCTTTTTTTGAGAACTGTGTGTTCATTAACCTGTTGATTCGCTGGTGTTTTTGTGTGTGTGCATGTTGTGTTTAATTTCTGTACTTGAAAAAAATTTTGGGATATTAGCCCTCTGTCTCAATAGCTGGCAGAATTTTCCTCCTATTCTGTAGGATGTCTGTTTGCTCTTCTGATAGTTTCTTTCCCTGGTCAGAAACTTTTTAATTCCATGTAATCCTATTTGTTAATTCTTGCAACTATTTCCTGCCTAGGCACTGTTTTGAATATTAAAATTTTCCCACTTAAAATGTAAAGTCTCCAAAATAACAAAAAAAATTTCTTAAGATAAATTTGTGCCTTGTGGCTCAGAGAAGTCTGATGTTTAGAACTTTTCCTTTTCCCATTATACTGTACCCTTGGGGCTGAAGAGGTAGCTCAGCAGTTAAGAGCACTGGTTGCTCTTGCAGAGGACCTGGATTCAAAACCCACATGATGGCTAACAACCATCCGTAACTCCAGTTCCAGGGGATCCTATGCCCTCTTCTGACCTCTGCAGGTGTTGCATGACACAGGCACACTTATATACATGCAGGCACAGCACTCATACACAGACAATAAAAATAGTAAAAAATTGTAAATACTGTACTCTTGAGCAAGAGCTCCTTAATGTTTTTTAGTCAGTGTAGTTGGCCTCGTCAAATCAACCTTCTGGTTGTGAGGAAGGTTACTCAGTGAATGTGTACTGTTCCTATTAAGACTTGTATTTGACTATCACTATTTTCTCTCATTAGGGTCTATGAAAGATCACCCGCAGCAGCAGCCAGGCATGTTGTCTCGTGTGACTGGAGGAATTTTCAGTGTTACAAAGGGAGCTGTTGGTGCCACGATTGGTGGTGTGGCTTGGATTGGTGGAAAGAGTCTGGAGGTGACCAAAACAGCTGTTACAACTGTGCCTTCCATGGGAATAGGGCTGGTGAAAGGAGGCGTGTCTGCTGTGGCTGGAGGTGTTACAGCTGTTGGGTCTGCTGTTGTAAACAAAGTGCCCTTAACAGGAAAGAAGAAAGACAAGTCTGATTAAAACATGGAGATACACTTGCTCTCGATAGCACTATGATGCCAGTGGCATTGAATTGCTAAATTACAGACTACAACCAAGTCAACTATTTTGGACATTTATCTTCTAGACTGCTGTGTTGAAAGTATTGATGACTGGCTTTCATTTAAAAAAAGAGACCAATACTAGCACAGTGTCTGAAGTCGTCTCATGCTTAAGTTCCAGCTTTTTATCTGGTAAAACGTTACACTTACTGAGTTGTAACTGAAGATATGGTATGCTTCAATATTTGCTATGTCTTTTCAGTTTGACTAAAAATGTGAACGTTCAATTTAGTAGATGATCTTTACAGTTCCATATGTACAGTGTGCCAGGTAACTCATATGCCCTTACAAAGGGTATCTTGAACTACATAAACTGTACCTTTGATGTGCCTAATAGTTTCAGATGTCTTAGTTTTTTATAACTATAATGGTTTAGGCCAAGAGGCATTCTTTTCTTATTTAAGCTGGCAAAAGTAGCAGGAATTCAAAAGTTTAAAAGATACATGATTTTATGATACTGTTGTTTTTTGTTAGATATGCATTCTCTTCATTTAATCATTGATGCCTTACAAAAGAAAACATCTTTTCTAATATCTTAAATATGTGCAGTTCTTAGAATATCAGTGAATTCTTTTAAAGGTTGTGAAATTAGTTTTCCTTCTTAGAATCTCAGGAGTCTTGAGGTAAAGGCATTGCCTGCTGCCAGCAGCTACGACAGTGCTTGTTAACTGTTGTCAGTGGTTAAAATCAAATTGTCTGCTTTAGCCTGGGTTCACATTCCCATCATTAGTACACCTCACAGTGCCTATGGAACATTGCTTAGCTGATGAAAAGCTGTGTTGGGAGAGTTTCATATTAAGGAGGAACAAATAGTAATTTTTAAGAACTATCTAAAGCATCTACAATATAAAAAGAATCCTTCATGCCTATTCGTCTTTTAGGATATCTTAAACTATCAATAGAGTAATTCCTTTAAAAATATAATAAAAAGAACCACAAATATATGAGGACTGACTTTTGAAATGAATGAAATGGGCTCCATATATTAGTTTGGAATAAAAAAAATACATAAGTACTTCCAATGACTGACATAAGCTTTTTTTTTTTTTTTTTTTTTTTAAATAAAGTAGGGTCTCATGTATCCCATGCTGGTCTCAAACTGAATATGTAGCTAAGGATGACATTGAGCTCCTAATCCTCCTCCTTCCCCCTCTCAAATTAGGATTATAGGTGTTGGCCACCACACCCACTTTGTGATGTTGGGGCGAGATCCTAAGGGCTTCCAGCTTTGCTAAGCAGGGGCTGTACCAACGAAGCTATATCCCCAGAACAATTCATTCAGACTTTGAAAACGTGTTCTCTTCTCACCCTTAAAGCAGCTGTAGCTCATACCATTTTTCAAGCCAATTTCAGGTAGGGAGTTGACGTTTTTGATTATAAATGGTAAGTGTGTCGTGTCTTGTTAGTGTGTCATATCTCATTCATTCTCATAGAATATCACTTAGACTTTCATTTCTTTAATTTTCAGCTTCATGGAAATTTAATGACTGGCATATATATATTATATGTATATACATTTTACATATAATATATATGTTCCTCTTATAATCCAATGTGAAAAATCTTAATTTTCTTTATACCTAAGATTAGCTATTTGTCTCTATTCTGCCCCTTCTAGCTCCATGAAGAGAGGAAGAAAGTGGTATGTTGCTATAAGTAAGTCAAAATTTAGTCCCTGAGAACTTGAGTAGATCACTCTAGCATGGAGACTTAAATGTTTGTAACTGTTAAAAGTATTCTGTTAGTTATATGGATCAACAGTTGGATAAAAATGTGATTTTTGAGCAAATCTATAAAGGTTCTTGAACCTTTCTGCTTATATTAAACAAAAGCATTAAGGAGTTAACAAGACATTAAATGGTCATTTATTTCATGCAATATAATTTAAGAGGTATTCGTTGGTACATCTGGTGAATTGTCTTATTAACAAATGTTATTTTTTAAATTCCAAAATTAATAGACCCATTATATGATCTAAATAACGGTATTGGAGAATTTGTTTCCTGCTGTTCAGAAATTGATTCATTGCTAGTTTGTATTTCTACCTTGAGTCCTAGGCTCTGCTGTGCTTTGTACTTGAATTTTGTCTAAGTATAGACGTTAGTTTACTGTATGCTTGCATATTTATTTTCAACTTTGCTTGGTTTTAAAATTGCTTGAGGAAAAATGGTTATAATTATTTCTGCTACAGAAATGCCACCTGGTAAATTTTGTCTCAGTGTCTTAAATGCTAAAGTATAATTTCGTTCCAAGGGGTTTTTAGAAATGATAGCAGAGAACCCGTACAGATGTACATTGGCTGTAGAAGTTCTTACCGAAGTGAACTTGCCATTTGATGATGTACAGCTCTATCCTTGTCTCTTCCAGTTTACGTAGACTAGCAATTGGACCTGTTAAACAGGACTAGTTCACTCCAAGAAACTGGCTGTCATTTACACCTGGAGGCATCTGTCATTCAGCTTGTTTTTTGAGTATTTGGCACAATGGAGATAAACTTGTGTGATCCACTTGAGGGACTGATCTAATAATGTTGACATTATGAATCCTGTACTTAGTGAAATGTCAGATGAAAATACCTTATTGAATAATGGTTTTTTTTTGTGGTTGTATTAAAGGGATGGGAAGGAACACATGAATCTGATAATAAAGGACTATGATCTGTGAAGATGGAATGTTTCATAACGATCTACAGAAATAAAGGAAATTTTAAACAGGACAATCTTAAAACTTGTAGTTACACAGCAGTTCAGAAAGTGCTATAGGCAGTTTTTTCTTGTGATGATTTATAAACATGGTATCCAGGAATATGTATTTTGATGTGGACACAACAGTAAAATACATATATTTTAAACAACTCTAATAAAAAATTAAAAATTCAGATTTCTAGGTTTTTAATCTCAGTTTTCTCAGTCTTTGCAGGGTAGGGTCCCAGGACTATATTTTAAGTCTCTGAGTTATTCTTAGGCACACTAAAGTGTGAAGACTGCAGGAGGAATAACATAGGAACACTTCTCCTTAGTGTGTGCAGTTATGGAGCCAACTTTGATCTAATGCACAGAGGTGAGTAAAAGGAATGGGGAGGACGGTAGAGAACTGACAGACCCTGGGCATCAGACCAGCCATTAATAGGGAGGTTTTTGTTTTTCTGTTTGAGGCAGAATCATGCTGCACAGCCCAAGCTGGCCTGCAACTTGTGATCCTCCTGCCTCAGCCTCCTGAATGCTAAGATTATGGTGTGACCCTCCATGCTCATCATGGGAAGTACTTTTTTTCTTTTTGTCTTTTTTTGAGACAGGGTCTCCTTGTAGCCCCAGCTGTCCTGGAACTCACTATGTAGACCAGGCTGGCCTTGAACTCAAAAGATCTGCCTGTGTCTGCCTCCCAAGTACTGGGATTAAAGGTGTGCACCACCACGCCTGGCTTTTATTTTCTTTTTTACAAATACAGAACAAGCTGTAAATTAACTGTTCAGTGTTCACTGCATTTTCTGCTTTATTTTTGGATTATTGTGGCCCAACTTCTGTAGCTCATGTCCAGAAACAGAAACAAACAGAACTATTCTTCTTCTGGTGTTGACATCTGGCATGGCCTGTATGTTTGATCTGCCATTGGAAGTCTTCCAGAGGATCATATTGACTATGTCAACAAATTCATTTCTCTGCAGAAATGAGTAATATAATTTGTACATAAATCGACATTTTTATTACACCCTTTTTTCACAGAGGAAATAAAATTTGACTCTGCTGTTTTATGTAATGATAGCTAACCCTACTGCTATGTTGGTTTAGAATCCTCCTGCTGCATTAGTGATCTGAGTGAAAATGTAAGAATGGAGAAACTATCGGAGCTCTAGGAGCCAGGAGCAGTGCCATGGGAAACTGCACTACATGACTGATAGTGCATGTGGGTCCACTTCTAAGAAAACCTTTACTGCATTAATTCATCTGTGTGTCTTTGTGTGCACGTGCATGCCATGGTGTTCAGGTGGAGGTCAGAGGAAAACTTTTTGGAAGTGGGCTTTCTCCTACCATATGGTTCCAGGGGATTGAATTCAGGACAGCAGCCTTGGTGGCAAGATCCTTTACCCTCTGAACCATCTTGCTGGTCCCAGATACTTTTAAAACATAGTTTTTATTTTTATTTTATGTGTGTTTTACATGTATGTATAGAAGTACATGTGTGCAATGCCCATGCAGGCCAGAAGAGGGCATCAAATCCACTGGAACTGGAGTTACAAATGGTTAACTGCCATGTGGGTGTTGGGAACCAACCTAGGTCCTCTGCAAGAGCAGCCAGTGCTCCTAACTACTGAGCCATTGTTCAGCACCGCCCCCCCGCCCGCCCACTATTAAATTTTTTATTTTGGGTTCCTAGACAGGGTCTCTTCCTGTAACCCCAGCTGGCCTGGAACTCACTGTAGACCAAGCTGCCCTCAACTTCACAGATTGGCCTGCCTCTGTTTCCTGAGTGCTGGGACTAAAGATACGTCACACCATTCTCCAGATCTATTTTTTAAATACAAACTTTCCTAGTAAGAATAATTTGTGCTTTATAACTAACTGCTTCTGGTTCTCCGTAAAGACTTTAGCACCTAAATTTTTAGCTTTTGTTCTTCAGCTCATTTCACAGGTCTTCCTGTGATCTTTGCTGGCCTGGAATTCACTCTGTAGCCTAAACTATAAATTCCCCTGGCATGTCTCTACTTCTGGCTTGTCAAAACTCCAGACTTGGCTCTTTGCCTGTTTGAGATCCTGCTGTGATGTCCACTAAGCATCTCACAGTTGACATGTAACTGTAGAGGACCATATAGCATGTAATATATTCCAAACTCGCTTTGCAAGAGCAAGTGAGTGCATGCATCACTGATAATTTGTCAGAACAAAACCTCACACTTAGAATGAGGTCCTGTCCCTTAGATGGACCTGTGATGCCTCTCTCATTTTGTGCTACACATAAACTCGTGTGTGTGTGATAGTACATTTACACGTGTGTAATGCTTGGGATTGAACCCAAGGCTCCATGCATCAAGCTACATCTCCCAGCCTTACCTCGAATCTCATCTATAAGAATAGTAATTCTGGGACTGGAGAGATGGCTCAGCAGTTAAGAGCAGTGACTGCTCTTACAGAGGACCAGGGTTCGATTCCCAGCACCCACAAGGCGGCTACGAACCACCCTTAACTCCAGTTCCAGGGGAATCCAAACCCTCTTCTGACCTCCGCGGCATTGCACAACACGGGTGCACTCATACATGCAGGAAATACACTCATAAAACAAATTTTAAAAAATTTAAAAATATAGTAATTCTTCTTGGGCACTTGTTGCTGCACAATATCCCAACTAAGTAACACAACCAGTTGATTGTGCACAGCCCTTTAAATATGAAATAGTTATAAACTACAGCTGAAAGTGAGCTAATGTTTATTTTGGGACAGGATTTAGACATGGCAACACTACAACTAAAAATAGAATCAGCTATCACACTCCAAAGTAGATTTCCAAGTGTATGTAAATTAAGTTTGAAGTTAAGAGTTTTCACCCCACCCTCATCCCCATTTGCATTGATTCCTTAGGAGAGGTGGCTTCCTGTCTATTCAGAGGCTGAACAGAAGTGAGTTTTTATTTTTTTTGTCTCCCTGTAGCCTCAGCAGATCTGCCTGCCTCTGCCTGCCTCCAGAGTGCTGGGATTAAAGGCGTATGCCACCACACCTGGCCAGAAATGAGATCTTAATAACTAAGTCTGGGCACTGCTACTGGGCAGCTGAATGGTTTCTAAACCTGTGTCTTCATCTGTAAAATGAGGAATATAATCAGTGTCTGTTTCATAAGAGATTTCAAATTTCCACAGAAGTAGGCTCTTAACTAATCCTTTTGAATGAGTAATACCATCAGAGATACTCATTTCAAATACATGATGAAGTTCTCTAAAGGAATGTGCGTCATGGGCGTGCTGATGTCTAACACTAAGCTATGGACTTTTAGACCATTACATAATGTTTCAGGGCTAGTAGTGAGGAAGACTGGATTTACATCTTAGCTAGTGCTTTATGAATGTGTTCACATTTATTTAAGGGTGTGTACTTGACAGTTTCTTCAAAATATTCACAAAATTATCACTCATGTTATTTCATAATATATGAAACTTTGAGTCAAAGCTGTGAACCTTATTTAAACATTTTTATTTTAAAATTTAATGAAGAGGTAAACACAACTCAGAAGGTAAGTAGGTTTTTAAAATCACTAGTGCTGCTGGGCATGGCAGCGCACGCCTTTAATCCCAGCACTCAGGAGGCAGAGGCAGGCAGATCTCTGTGAGTTCAAGGCCAGCCTGGTCTACATAGTGAGTTCCAGGCCAGCTGGGGCTACAGGGAGACCCTGTCTCAAAAAAGACCAAAAATAAAAAAATAAAATCATTAGTGCTTATGAGCCTGCTAGAAATACGCCAACTGTCGGTATGTCACTCTTCAACATTTAATGGTGCCACAGGGTTAAATAATGGCCTTTCTTTTTTGGCCTGCATTTTGCCAAAGTTAGCCTCAAACTCCTTTTTTGTTCCAATTAGATTAGATAAGTTTCCATCCTTTATTCTGTAGCCTAAAGAATTCAGCTTCTTTATCCTGTATTGAACTATCTGTGGTGTTAACTCAAGAACCATTGGTGACACTCTTATCTGTGCTATGGAAACGCCTTCTTTCAGTAGTCCCTGAATTCTCTCTTCTAAAACTGGAACAGGATAATATAAGAGAGCTGGACAGTTCACAACTAATTGCCTTAGGTCATGATCTGTGCATTCAAAAGCATTTTTAGAGAAGGAAATACTGTTCTGTACACTTCCTGGGTGAAGTTGAAAAAGAAATCCTTTGAGTTTGGATAGAAGTTGAAGCATTTCCAAGTTTGTGAAACCTTGCTCTTGAAGAAATTTGAGTGTTTCCTTTACAGCTTCAGAAGAATCTAACAAAATAAATGGATTTTGGCTTAGTAATTTTAGTAACCAAACGCGGGCGTTGGCCTGCGAGCCGCCCAGGTTTAGGTAACTCTCTTGGAGGATCCGTATCATCTGCTTGTTCTTCTCAACAGGATTTTGAAAAATAGCAGATGCAGTGATCAGAAACCTGCTGATGACCACATTCTTGAGTCCTAGCTCTTGAAAGAACTCAACATTCAGTTTCCGGTTCTCTTGGTCCTTGACAGTAAAGAAAGATTCTGGAAACTGCTCTATTAACCTGATCAACTCTTCCTTGTTTTTGCAGACTGACTGCCAGAGTTTCTTTTCAGTGTCCACGGCAGCTGGACAGCAGACAATGGCTTCTGGACAGCGTTCTAGAATACTGCCTATCACAGTCTTGCTGGCACCCAATTCTTTTAAAAAACTTGCAGTTTCTTCAACATAGGTCTCATCTTCTAGAAGTACCCATCCTTTTACTCTACGAATTTTCCTAACGTCAACTAAAAATGTAGAGAGTTTTTCCACTGTTGTTTTGTTTTCTTGGTCTGACTGTCTATCGGTTGTATAAGCACAGCATGCTGGAAGAGGTTTGTATTTTGGAGCTGCTTGCGTCTTCCTAAAATGACACAACCTGCAAAGCTGGGATCTGATCAGCACTTTCTGCAACATGCTGCAGTCCACAGGCTTAACTCCTACGTTCTGGGGCTAGAAATGCCCACTTGGTACCTGTAGGAAAGGCCAAGGTTTGAAAGGAACAATGACTTTCAGACACAGACACTTAAAAATTTAATTTCTAAGTAGTAACTGGAAATGAAACATTGTAAGTTGGAATTTAAAGTATTCATTTAAATTTATTTTATCACAACCTAGACATGCTTTATATAATTAACATTGTTAAGCTCTGCATCAGCCTTGTGAAGTAGTGACTCCCTTTATGGATCAGAAGGCCACAGGGTCAAAAAGTGCACAGGCCTCAACTGTTACTCTGACACAAATTCCCTTTCCTATAACTGTTCCTTTTAAGCTGGCATATTACACACACATACTTTTTAAGGTTTTACACTTCTCAAGTTGTTTAGCTTGGGTATGAGGGGAGAGGCATCTTTATATTTTAAAGTAGTTTTACTGAAGTGCTATACTATAATTCAAACTGTCAGTTTTTATTTGAAACAAGTTAATAAATGCCTATTTGTCTTATTAGAACTGAACAAAACTCCTTTCTATAGATTCAGAATTAACGTAAGTGAGGTAAAAGCGCCATGCGACTGCCTCAGTGGAATCTTTGGAAATCAGACCAGCCATGTGACCATTTCACACTGAGCTACACTGGCTCTTGCTTTAACTTATGGAATAACGTTGGACAAGCTAGTTACCTTAGACTAAACACAGTAGTGATCTGAACAGTCCACTCAACTACCCCCTGCCATCCAGGTGTTAGGAGGTGGCTGCACTGTCCAGCACTAGAGCCGCTGTAGCACTGCAATACTCTACCTCCATCTTGGGGGCCTGACTAGGCCCACATAATAATGTAAAATGGCTAACAGGAGAAAAATATAGTTTATTTCATATGAATTTTACATGGCACAGAAACCCTTACAACGATGTAAAAACCGAAAGAAAGAGTAGGTTATGCTGAAGTGGACAAAGTTGTGAAGAAGCAACTAAACTATGTGAGGAAGCTAAGTTATTTTAATAAGGTCTGCACAGAATTCTTTCGGCCTCAACTTCTCATCCTTAAGAGGGATTTTATTCTTAGTATAGGGAGGGTGGTCTCTCACAGGAAAATTTCACCTGCTCTGAAACATAAGAGGAGCCCAGTGTTGTGGCCTTTAATCCAAGCCCAAGGGAGGCAGAGACAGGTAGATCTCTGTGAGATTGAGGCCAACCTGGTCTATGTAGCAAGTTACAAGCCAGCTGGGGCTACAAGGGAGACCGTGTCTTTTAAAAAAAAGGGGGGGTCAAAATGACCCCACACTTATTTTCAAATGGCTTTAATTCAAAGTATGTCGTGATATTAAGGATTTTAAGGACTAATATTAACTCTCATTGCTATGTCTTGTACCACGTGTAGACCCTAGTGTTTAACTTTTAATGCCTGGATTAGTTCTTCAAGTGTCAGTCTTGCCAGAGTGTACAGTACTGGGTTATTTAGGCACTCTGCAACCTACTTGTAGGTTTGAAAGGTGTAAAGTCAGATTCACTGCTGGAAGGCACACGTGGTGTCTGAGTCCCTCCTCCCGCTCTCCTTACAACAACCCAAGGCAAGAATTCTCCAAAACTGCCATTTGGAGAATCTTAACGAGTTTGTTGGACTTGCTAACTGAGCTTGGGGTGCTGGTTTACTTACAGAAGAGTGGGCACCCCCATTCACAGCTGGCTGGAAAGTCCACATCCAAACACCTTATGGCTCCCCAGTAGCCACATAAACTGTTCAGAGACCAGAAAACTATAGCCCCTCCCCTTCAAGCAGCTAAGGTCAACCGATTGGCTGGAAGAGGTAATGGGCTTGACTCCTTCCGCAGAGCGTGGGAAGGAGGTGGGACCATGGCTTGTCGTCATAGAGTCAGAGGAACTTCCAGGTCACAAAAGGAAAGCCCAAAGACCCATTTTTTAACTCTTGCCACTAGCAATGCCCTTGCCATATAGGCTGAGGATTCTAGTTGCAAATATGCCCTTACTAATCCAAATAAATGACTATTCTAGAAGGAAAAGTAAGAGTGTTCCCATTTTGATTTGTAAGAATAGCTCAGGTAGCTGGAGGCCAACATGACTATGGACATAGCTTGTTTCTCTTTCAGTCCTTTAGCTTCACATAATTCCTAATGCCACAACATAAAAAAATATTTCAAACATCGATCTTAGCAGGAAGGAGAAGGTAAGCATAACAAGCACAAGCAGATCTGGCTGGGGGCCCACCTCCAACTCCCCAATCACTGTGTGACTACAGGCTCAGCTCAGGCCTGCCATCTAGACCACGTGCTGGGGAGGGATGAGGGTTGTAGAGTCAAACCACCCATGCCCAGCACTGGCTCTAACTTCTGGAGTGATTTTGAAGTTTTGCTGGTTTTAGACTAAGGTGGTAGTGATTAGAATAGTGCCTCAGGGGAAAGTGTTAGTATTAAAAAAATAGCACTGATCTATAAAATGAGAACAGCTCCTACAACTCACAGAGGTGCTGAGAGAGTCAAAATGTACTTCAGATACTTTGCACTGAGCCTGGTACATAGTAAATACTTAATAAATGGTAGTTACTACTACTGGGAAGTACCAGGTGCCAGTCTTGTACTACGATCCTTAAACTGCATTTTAACAAGAAGGTGGGATGGGGGTGGTGGGAAGTAGATCCTGAAAGGTTACAGGAAGGACTGGTGGGGGAAGGGAGAATGTGACCAAAATACATTTATGTATGTATGAAATTCTCAACGAATAAAAGATACATTTTAAAAAGGCTTTGAAGAGCTTGTTTGCCCCTTCACTAGGGAGGACACATAAAAGTTGCCATCTGTGAGGAAAAGGCCTACCTCAGACTCTCGAGTCTGTGGGCACCTTAGTTTTGGCCTTCCAGCCTCTAGAACTGAGTAATAAGGTCCTGTCATTGTAAATTAACCAGACTCACATATTTTGTTCCAATAGCCAGAATGGATTAATGAAAAATGTTTCCTCCTGGTTTAAAAAAACAAAAACAACCCAGACCCTGAATATTAGAAGTACCTTATTTACAAAGGGTAAGTGAAAAGTTTTAACTTAAAAAAAAAAATACAGGGTCTCAGTGGTCTGGAATTTACTATGTCAATCAGCCTGCCTTTGCCTACTGAGTGTGGGGGTTAAAAGCTTGGACTACTATGCAGGGCAAATAAAAACTTTGAAACATGTCAGCTTTCCAAAGTAATCCCATCAAACTACCACATACTCATTGCAGAGTTGCTGAATTCTGAAAAATATAAGTAGGCAAAAAAATCATAAATTCTAGCATCTATAGATAACTTCATATTTTGTGGTTTTTGAGACAAGGTATTGCTACATAGCCCTGGATGTACTAGTACTTGCTATGTAGCTCTGAGTAGCCTCAAACTCATGGCACTCAGCCTGCCAAGTGTTGGAATTGTGCACGTGCAACCATACCGGGTGATGGCTGATCGCATTTTGACGTATGTCCCATTTTTCCTGTTCCCCCCTTGTTATCGCTCTTTAAATACATAGATCAAGACTGCACATGGGAATTGCATTCTGAATTCAGCTATAAAGTGAAATTGCAAAGACTCAGAATCTTGTAGCAAATCTGACATAGCCAGGGGTTCCTTGAGGGTTGGGACAGACCCTGTTGTGTGGCTCCGCACCACATGAAGTAGCTGGCTTGGTCTGAGGGTTTCATTGTACCAAACGACAGCACTCTAAACATTAGAGCCATGTAAACTATGGCAAGGCGCACCCACTGACAGAGCCTCCTATCAAATGAGGCTAAGGAAGAAGTAGGCTGTAGCCAATTTCTGCATTACTCCAAGGTGACCTAGGATCTGTGGAGGCAGTCACCTTAACAATTAAGACTGCCTATCTTATGGCCTTTCTGCCAGGTAAACAGTTAATTGTGAAGGTGAAATGCCTGATTGCTATCATGCACATCACATACAGTTTCTTATTACTATGAAAATTTGGGTATTTAAAATGAATGCATGCTGTCTGAGACAGAGGTTCTATATAGTCTTAGACGTTATTCTTGGTATTGGGCATTTAGCTATAGTTTTTGTTACATGCTGAATACTTGTCTGCGTTTCATATTTGTTCTTTAAAGTGAATTTCTAGAAGTAGAACTCCAGAACAGATGTGGGGATAGCCAAAACGTTCACAGCTAAGGAAATCCACCCCAAATGACGCTCTTAAGAATACAAGCAGGATGAGCGATTCAAAGTTATTTTGATATGTGAAAAATACACTACTTTTCAAAAAAATTAGTGAGACTGAGCTTACATTATTCTGACCATCTTATTTCCTCTTATGGATCAGCTTATTGTGTTTTTGTCCTTTATAGGCCATAAAAAATTAACACATGGGGGCTGGAGAGATGGCTCAGTGATTAAGAGCACTGGCTGCTCTTGCAGAGGACCCGGGTTTGGTTCCTAGTACTAACATGGAGGCTAACAAACATCCTTAACTCCAGTTCCAGGGGATCTGATACCATCTTCTGTCCTCTGTGGGCATTGCACTACATGGGTTTACTTACAAATATGCAGGCAAAAAACTCATAAAAATTGAAAAATTAACACGAGGCATGCGTGGTGGCACATGCCTTTAATCCCAGCACTGGGGAGGCAGAGGCAGGCAGATCTCTGTGAGTTCAAGGCCAGTCTGGTCTACATAGTGAGTTCCAGGACAGCTGGAGCTATAGGGAGACCCTGTATCAAAAAGACCAACAAAAAAAAAAAATTAGCACGAATAAACATATATTGCAGGAAAGGATATCAATACTTTTAGGCATTTTCATTTTCAGTTGGTGTTATCTTTTCACATTCCAAAGGAGTCACTTTTTTCTTTTGCAAGCACATCTCACATTGTAGCCCGGGCTAGCCTTGCACTTTTGTGCTCATGCTTCAGCCTCCCAAATGCTGGTATTACAGGCATGAGCCGCTCCAAAGCAGTCACTTTTCATTTTATTATTAAATTTATTTTTATGTGTGTGAGCACACTGCCTCATACACATATATGTGAGTGTACCCATGCCATGCAAAGGCCAGAAGAGGGTGTTGGATCCTCTGGAACTGGACTTACAGACAGCTGTTAGCTGCCATGTGGGTGCTGGGATTTGAACCTGGGTCCTCTGCAAGAGCAGCCAGTGCTCTTAATCGCTGAGTCATCTCTTCAGCCCCGGAAAGCACTTTTTAAAACATTGTGGTAAGATGTATATAGAAGCATCTTACTATTGTAGCCATTTTCAAGTGTATGATTCAGTGGTATTAAGTACTTCCATGATGACACACAATTACTAACCACCTCTTTCTAGAACTTCTCTCATCATTCCAAACACAAATTCTGTATCCATTAAATAACTGTCTACTTCTCCCCAGCCCACCTGGAAAACCTCAGTTCTACTTGTCTGTTCTGCATTTGTCTGTTCTAGGTACTTTACACAAGTGAAACCATTCAGTTATGTAACTTGTTGTATCTGGTTTGTTTCACGGAGTATAATGTTTTCAAAGGTCATGTATTAAATGTCAAAACAAGGCATTTTTTACACCTCTAGTTTTTCAAGCACCTTTATTCACAGCAGATTTTGGGGGTGAGTGTGTACGTGTGTGTGCAGGAGTAGGAGTGTAGGAGGTCAGAGGACAAATGGGTATCGGACCTTACGTTCCACTTTGAGACAAGGCTGCTTCCTTAGTCACATATTCAAGAGAACTTTTGTTTAGAGCCATCTCCTTAGCCATCCGCCTACTTTGTAATCCTCGGCATTGGTCAGGAAGTTTATACCTCTGGCCTTTGCTGCATACACAGCTTCCTTTGTCAGACCATCTTAATCTTTGGTTAACTCCCTCTTCACCTCCCACGGACAATCTCAAATCGTCTAAACTCAGATCTATAGCCTGGCCCCTGCCCCTAATCCTTTCTTCACTCTCAACTTCCCGGGCCTAATCTACCACTACCTCCCTTTCCTGCAATTCCAATTTGTGTTCCAGGGTAACCCTGACTCCTGTGCTGTTCTCTGCCCTGCCCACAGCCCCAAGAATTCTACAACTCTTCTTTTTCGCCGTACTGCAAAGATACTTCAGGTTTAGTTCCAGATCACCACAATAAAGTATCAGATAAAGTGAATCACACAAACTCTTTGGTTTCCTAGTACATATAAAAACTGTTACACTACTCTATAGTCTGTTAAAGTGTGCATAACATTATGTCTAAAAGAAAAAAAACCTTAAAAAACACCTCACTGCTTAAAAATGCTAACGATTACATGAGCTTTTAGTGAGCTATAATATTCTTGATGGTGGATGGCTTTGCCTCCCATGAAGCTGATGGCTGTAGAGTCATCAGAGTGTTGGCTGCTAAAGGGCAGGGCAATGTGACGATTTATTTTTTTTTCTTTTTGAGACAGGGTCTCCCTGTAGCCCCAGCTGTCTTGGAACTCGCTATGTAGACCAGGCTGGCCTCGAACTCATAAAGGTCTGCCTGCCTCTGCCTCCCAAGTGCTGGTATTAAAGGTGTGTGCCACCACACCTGGCTACAATTGATTACTTTTTTAAAAAACTTTATTATTTTAGGCTTGTGTGGCAACTGCCTTTACTAGCTGAACCATCTCACTGGCCTCAACAGTTTCTTAAAGACAGTGAAGTTTGCTGCTTCAGTTGACCTTTTCTTTTTTAAAAATATTTTATTATTTTTATTTTATGTGTATGAGTGTATTGCCTGCATGTAGGTTAAGTGTAACCATGTAGTGCAATGCCTACAGAAGACAGAAGAGGCCATCAGATCCCCTGGAACTGGAGCTACAGCCAGTTGTTAGCTTTTATGTGGGTGCTGGGATTCGAACCTGGGTCTTCTGCAAGAACAGTCAGTGTTCTTAACTGCTCAGCCATCTCTCCAGCCCCTCCACTGATCTTTTCACAAAATATTTCTCTGTAGCACGTGATTCTGTCTGATAGCATTTTACTCATAAGAGAACTGGTCCTCTCAGACTGAACTGCTTTAATCAACTAAGTTTATATGACACTGCAAATCCTTTATCATTTCCACAATGTTACCAACATCTGCATGGGAAGTAGAGTCCACCCCCAGTGACCACTTCCTAATCATCCGTAAGAAGCAATTCTGCACCTGTTAAACTTTTGAGACTGAATGATGCAGTCTCATCCTCAGGGTCCATTTATAATTCTAGTTCCTTATTTTATGTGTACGAGTGTTTTGCCTGCATGTATGTAGGTACACTCAGGTCATGCAACACCTGCAGAGGCCAGAAGAGGGCGTCTGATCCCCTGGAACTGGAGTTATACAGGGTTGTGAGCCACCTATAAATGCTGGGAACCGAACCTGGGTCCTCTGCAAGAACAGCCGGTGGTCTGAACTGCTGAGCCATCTCTCCAGCCCCTGATATAATTCTAGTTCTGTAATTGGTTCTACCACATCTGTAGGTACATCCTTCACATACTTGAACCCCCTCAAAGTCAGCAATGAGGGCTGAAAATCAGCTTCTTCCAAAATCTTGACATTGACGTTTTGATTTTATCATTGTGACTTCATCACAATGACTTTCAATAGCATAGAGAATACTGAGTCCTCCCCAGAAGATTTTCAATGAACTCTGCCCATTACTTTGTGTCCAACCTAAAATTAATGAAAAGATCGGGCAAGTTGGCTCAGTGGGTAAAGGTGCTTACAGCTAAGCCTGATGATCTGAGTTCATTCCCCGGGACCCACAGGGTGGAAGGAGAGAACCAACCTCCACAAGTTGTCCTCTGACCTCCACACACGGACTGTGCACACGCCCCTCAGCTGTGAAGTGCAATAAAGAGAAGCAAGTGGGGCTGCTCTTGTACTCAGGCCTTCAGCTGTACCCCCTTCTGACTTCCCACTTTCTTTTCTACAGTTCTGACTCCAGCTAAAGCCCTCATGCTCCTCTCCCTAAGCTAATTAAGCAGATCCTCCTCCTGTTTCCTCTTATTTAGCTCTCAATAAAGGCAACTTTCATGCAATCAGAGTCAATGTGTAGTTTCAGTTCCTGTCCCTTTCGCAGCTTCCAGCAGAGTGGACCACATATTACTTTCAAAATAGTCTCTCATTTAACTTGCAAGATGCTGTACTCTCCTGGCTCTCCCCTTTCCTCCACTTCTAGCTACCCACACTTTATCTGTCCCATCTGCAGACTCATCTTTAAGCTGGGCTCTAGGCCTTCTGCTTCTGGACGTGGTGGTACATGCCTACAATCCCAGCACTAGGAAGGCTGAGGCATGAGTTTCAGGCCAGCCTGGGTTACAAAGTAGATAAACAGATGCCCACTCCCTCTTCTTACCTTACAGTCTCTTTTGAGACAACGTGTCCTATCCAGGGATTCAGTTATCCATGTGGTTTTGTCGACTCCGTAACAGACTTCAGGGCACTTCAGAACAAAGATAAGCTGTTCATTCACTCAACCAACAGGTGTTTTCTTTTTGAAAATTTATTTTATGTGTATGAACGTTTTATCTGCCTGGATGTAAGTGCCATCTGTGTGTACAATGCCTGCAGAGGCCAGAAGAGGGCATTGGACCCCCTAGAACTGGAGTTAGGGATGATTCTTATCTGTCATGTGGCTCTGGGTACCATACCCAGGTCCTTTGCAAGAGCAGCCACTGCTCTAAACCACTGAGTCATCTCTCCAGCCCTTGGTGATCTGTATTTTAAGCTCAACTTTATCAGGTATGCTAGGCCCTAAAACCCTTTGCTATGCTTCTTGGGATACTAAAGCAACACTACTTCATACTTTTCTTGGGACCACAGACCATCTGAGAACTTGAGGGCTCTGGACTCTCTAGGAAAAAGAAAAAGGCCCACACCCTTTTCATTTCATAACTGATCTTAGCAGGACTGGTGAACAATCTGTTCTAAATGTGTAAGCACTGGGAGGGCAGAGACTGAATGCTGTCCTGCTTTATCTCCCGCAACAAGCAAAGAACCTGGTCTACAGAGGAACAAAGTCTGTACTTGTCAACTGAAATCAAATTGAACAAATCAAGTTCAAAACACCTTAATGTGGAGGGCAAAACTGACTTCTGCAGCCACACTGCCTTGGAGTTAATCCTCGGTCAGCTGTGACTTGAAGTCACTTCACCTTTCTGTGCCTCAGTTGGGGCATCAGCAACATGATGACACCACTTCCTGGTGAATGTGAAGAGTAAATGTGTTAGTATCATGTCATTTAAAATATGAAACTTTCGCACGTACTAACTCATTAAAACACCACAAGAATCCACCTTAAAGATGAGGACAGGTGCACGTGGATGGCTGCCCAAGGCTGCTGAGCTACTAAAGGGTAGGCCCTGGATTCAAACTTTCCAGCTTATCTTGGGAATCCTGCTCTTAGCTGCAATTTAACTGTAATATTCTTGGTAAATGTTTAAGAGTAATGTAATCTATTCTCTAAAGTTTTATGTTTCTTAAGCATTTTTGTGGCGTGAAATACACTTCTATAATATGTACAATTTTTATACTTAAAATAATCTACTCCTTAACACTGAAGTTCTATTTTTATAACATGCATAATTTGACAATTCCAAATTAATTCCATTTTTTTAATCCGAGGAAGAGCATCTCCAGGACCGGCAGAAAGGCCTTACATTCACAAGGGAGAAAAGTCTCCCTTTTTCTACAGAAACTTTTGGCCCCCGGTGCCCCGTGTTGGCCCAAGCCAGGCAGGAGTGTCTGTCTGGACCTACAGTTTCGCTGTTGGCAGGCACCAACCCCGACCACAGTGTGGCTGGCATGATGCTCATTGCCAGCGTTAGAGAAGGGGGAGACTCACCTGTGGGCGGTTCTGGCTTAGTCCCGCCTTCCTCCGGCCGGTGCACACTGATAGGACCCCGGGTCTCGAGTCCTAGGTAACTCACAGAGCTCCACTAAGGGCACTGTGCCCCTTCGCCTGTAACTAATCAGCGCTCAGGAAACTGGTGAGTCAGAAGCCCCACCTACCTCCGCGAACAACCAGTCAGATCGCAGGATACTGGCTACGTAACCCCACGCACTGGGGCTGGGCCGCCGTGGGAATCACTGTGCCACGCACCTGGCTGGAAGCTTGGTGGTTCAGTCTCTCTGCCTCTTATGGAATCTCACAGCGTGTAAGAATAAAAGTAACTCGGAAGCTGCTGTCTTTAAGATAGAGTCATTCAGATTTCTCAAGGCCGTTTTAAAACGCCGAAAACTTCTTTGAAAACTTCTTCCACCCCCTCCGTTCCAGCAGTTAATGCACACTCCAGCAGCTGGTGCACACTCTGCCCCTCCCTTCTGCAGTGATTGCATAGCTAACAGACTCCCGTCTTCCCTGTCTTGACTTTAAGTTCTTTAACCTCTTCTTTTTTCTTCCCTTTCCCCCCCCTTTGTTTTGTTGTTGGGGTTTGGGGTTTTTGTTTGTTTGTTTGTTTGGTCTTGGTCTTTTTGAGACAGGGTCTCCCTGTAGCCCCAGCAGGCCTGGAATTCACTATGTAGACCAGGCTAGCCTTGAACTCACAGAGATTCGCCTGCCTCTGCCTCCCAAGTGCTGGAATTTAAGGCGTGCACCACCACCCCAGCCAGGTTTGTTTTTGGTTTTTGAGGCTCTCACACTGTAGCCCAGGCTGACCTGAGCCTAACTGTGTAGCCCAGGCTGTGCTTGAACTCATGGCAGTCCTCCTGCATCAGTCTCTTTGAGTGCTATGATTACAGGCATGAGTCATCACGCCTGACTTTTCCTTTTCTGTATCCCATTTTAATTTCCTCTTTCAAAATGAGAACATGTTTTACTATGGACTCCAAATTCTTGTATTTCAAGAAAGTGTGAAATAAGTCCATGGACCAGAGTGTTACTATACTAGTAACTCAGAGGCAGAAGGGCCACTCAACATGTATACCTACCTACCTGTTATATGTAGTAGCCTATTAAATGTTGGAACCTGGAGATCAGACTTGGTATTGAGGAGCCAGGCCTACCTGCTGCTGTGAACGTAAAGCGCAGGTGTCAGTTCCTCCAAAGCCTCCAGAGCGTACACTGTAAGGCTAGAGAGACCCAGGTTTGATGGATTGTGTGCCAAGCATTGTTGAGGGAAGAATCCTCGGTTTCCACAGGCTTCTGCCCAAGAGAGGGCGGTCTGAACGTATCCCACAGTGCTGCGTGTTAGAAACACACCCTTGTAAACGCGATGAGAAGGAACCTTTTACTTCCTGGCAAACAGCTTGGACAACGCGGGGCACTCTGCCCTTGGCAGCACTTATTCTAACTGTGATCAATCAAGTTAATGTCTATACTGCAGGAAGGTAGGAGATGCATTTCATTCTCCTAGGTCCACGGTCTTCTCATTAGTTTCACATGCTTGCGCTGAATCTACATGCCATTAATATTTGATTTGTTTAGCCCCGTGTTTATCCATCCAAAGATTCTGGCTTTAAGGAGAATATGATTAATTGAGGAGGTTGGACATGACAATTAGAATGCAAAGCACTTGGTGGTTTGCCAGGCGTATTTAGGCGAAGCCATCTGGGAAGGAAGACGCATGAACGCTTTTAGGGACTCAGGAATGACAATACATATGGCCCCGAGCATTGTAAGAAAAGTTGAAACAAACTCAGCTATGCCAATGCTACCCAGACTTCCCCTGTACTGCTTAAGCAGTGCACATCCAAGACCTCAGATGGAAAACTAGGTAAGGCAGTTACGACTATACATATCACCAAGGAAATGACAAACATTTGAAGCATCAGAAGATTATGAAGTCTCTAGTATGTAAGAAATGCACTAAAATGATAATGGTTGTCAGCTTTGTATATCTGAAATTTACTAATTAAGGAAATGAGGAAACCATAAAGACTCTGCATAAGTTAATTCAAAAGCTTGGTTCCTCCAACTCCATATTCCAAAGTGTTTAGCAATAAGAATTCAGGAAGCTGGCTTTTGGGGCTCTTTCCTTTAAAAGCTATTATCTATCCCATCCTAACTTAATAGGCATGGCCTTTTCTCTGTCTCCTGGAAGCTGCCAGAATGTTCACCTCACCTGTATTATGTTTTCTCTTAAACTCTAATAAAATTGTCCTTGAGCTAAAAAACAAATTCAGGATCTGAATGAATCAAAGGTCTTAAATAGTTCACCCACTGGTAGATTTTGATGATTAGCTCTCCTTTTGGGGGAGTACTGTATTCAGAGTGCATCTGCTTAACTGGGAAACACTGACTGATACCTCCCTTTTCCTCTCAGTGTTCACAATGCAGACTAAACTGGAAGGTGGCACCGATGCCCGGCAGTGCCTAAGCAGAGCTAGTGTTCTTTTGCTAAGATGATTATTTATTCACATTCAGATTGAATCTGTTCCCCCTGGACAGCGAGGACAAATCTCAAGGCCTATGACTTTCTCAGTTCCACAAAATATAATCAGGGCCAGAGTAGGGTACAATTCCAATACTACTATTTTTAACAGTGGTGAGAAGACAGAAAAGGCATAGTCTGTCTTTTTTTCTAATTAATGGAATTTACTGATTCCATTTGCTGATTCATTATAAATTTTTTGATTGATTGAATTGATGGAATTTACTGATTCATTATTAATTTTTTTTGAGACAAGGTCTCACTTTGTACCCCTGGCTAGCCTAGAACTTGCTATGTAGACTAGGCTGGCCTCAAACTCACAGAGATCTGCTTGCCACTGCCTTCCAAATGCTGGGATTAGTCATGTGCCACCATGGCTGGCCCTAATTATTATTAATCTGTTATCCAGTGTATTTTTAAATACCTGTCATCTAAAAACAATGTTTCTGCACTTTGGACTCAAATTTATTCTTTTGATTACCTTTAATTAAAATTTTGTTTTTAATTTTTATGTGTGTGAGTATATTGCCTACATGTGTGTAAGTGCACCTATGTCATGCAATGCCCGAGAAGATCAGAAGAGGGCATTGGATTCTCCTGCAACTGGAGTTATGGATAGTAATTAGCTGCCATGTGGGTGCTGGGAATCGAACCCAGGTCCTCTGCAAGAACAGCCAGTGCTCTTAACTGCTGAGCCATTTCTCCAGCCCCTTATTTACCTTTAAATACAATTATATTGAAATTTTTTTTTGTGGTACTAAGTAATGAACCCAGGGTCTTGCACATGCCAGGCAAATAGTCTATTACTGATCTACACATCCCCAGCTACACTCAGTGTTTGCTACTTAAGATAGGAAAATGAAAAGTGATGGTTATAGCATCCTTTAATAAGAAAATGCCTAAGAGAACACAGTGAAGAGAGACTAACAATAGCAATAATGACATCTAACTAGAGCTGTGACAGACATGTAGGAACATTGTACTATAGACTCTAGGGAGTGATGCAGCCCGTAGCCAGCATTTCCTGACATGCTGTATGATGAGCACTTCACTTTTGAAACTGGACTATGAAACAGATGCTATTTTCAGCTCCATTTTAAGACAGAAAAAGGAAGACAGAAAGTTAATCTTGCCCAAGGTCTTGAAGTGAATGGAAAAGGCAAGCTTGACTTCAGAACCTACCTCTAACTGTTGCTTTACCCCATCTGACTTATAATTACAAAACCCATCATGTGAGGGGAAAAATACCTTTGATTTTAAATCTTTTCTCAAAATAATTTTGAAAAATAATTGTTTTGCTAGATATGCTGTACCTGTTCTTTCATTCAAAATGGAGACAGGGTTTATATAATCCACCTCTGTAATTTGTAATCATACCTCACATAGCAATTCTATTACCTAAAACAAGTGAGGGGAAATGACCACCACATACACAAGATTCCATCTTTGTACATACTTTAATAACAAAGTCACTTTAGCTATAAATGAACAAAAAAAGGGAGACAAAGAGAACTTAACACATGATCCACAAGTCTGAGTCAAAACAGGCATACATCAAGTTTTAAAACATAAATTGTCTGTTTGACAGAGGCTACACCTACTAATTTTGATTAAATACATTTTCTAAAGCATCATTATCAAAGAGTGCAAAATTAGGTCAAACAATGATGTCAAGAAAAATGTGTCCTGAAATTTTAACAAAGTCTTTTAAGAAAGTCTAAAAACTTCCCATTTTCCTGCACTGACTCTCAAAACTTTGAGTTTCATATGAGAATATCAGTTTGTTAACTTTAACTTTTGCCATACATGGAAAATTATCAAAAATATACTGATGAGTCTATACTAATTGTGACTGTATTTACATTAAGCAAATCTTTTACCAAGTTCTTTATATACAAATTACCATTTGTCCTATGTGAAATTCATTAAAAAGTTAAAAACCACAGAAACATTTTTAGAAATAATATGTTCAAAATGTAACTGCTTTCCATCAATGAAGAACATTTTTAAATAATTTAAGTGAAAAGTACTGAATTTCCCACCAATTTCAGCTGCAACAGTATTCCTCCTGACCGATTTCTGTGATTTAAAGGAGGAAAAAAAACTGAGTAAAACTTTGCTGCAAAGGAGTAAGTGATCAGATCTGATGAGCATTTACTGACTTTAACCTCAAGAAATTCATAATTAGGTTGGCATAAAAACTAAGTGACAATCTAAACAACTTAAGATAACCAAAGGTATGAAAAATATTTTAAAAAACCTAGCAAAAGCAACATGTAAATGCATTTCTTATTAAGCCACAAATTCAATGAAACTGGATGTAGGCATGGCATCTGATACTTCTGAAAAAAGACAGCCCTGTTTAAAAAAGTAGTAATTTAGATTTTAGAAGCAGCACAACAGATATTTGTAAGCTAATTGTGGTAGTACATACTTGGCGTCCTAGCATTCAGGAGGCCGAGGCAGGAGGATCACTGCAAGTATGAGGTCAGCCCTGGCTACATACTGTGTTCAAGGCTAGCATGGAATACACAGTAAGACCCTGTCATCTCAACCCCTTCGCCCCAAATTATAAATATTCAAAGTAAAGCTTTGGGATAAAATTTATAAAGGACTATATTAATGTTGCTAAATTGAAGAGGTTACTTTGTTTTAAACTTATAGTCATACAGTAGGAAAATGAAAAAGTTATTTCTTTCAAAGAAAAAAAACGGCTGGGCATGGTGGCGCATGCCTTTAGTCCCAGCACTTGGGAAGCAGAGGCAGGCAGATCCTCTGTGAATTCGAGGCCAGTCTGGTCTACAGAGTGAGTTCCAGGCACCTGGAGCTACAGGGAGACCCTGTCTCAAAAAGACCAAAAAGACAGAAAAAAAAAAATGACCACAAAACTTTCAAATTTAAACATGATGGGTACTGGGTGTGGTGGCGCACACCTTTAATTCCGGCACTCAGGAGGCAGAGGCAGGTAGATCTCTGTGAGATTGAGGCCAGCCTGGTCTACATAGCATGTTCTAGGCCAGTTGGGGCTATAGGGAGACCCTGTTCTCAAAATATCTCAAAAATAAAATAAAATAAACAAACAAATAAACCAACAAACATGATGGGTGGGTGATCACAAATCTGAGTGCAGTGCTTTGCTCAGCACATACGCATTTCTCTTGTCAAATAACTGAATTTATAATAACTGATTAAGAATTCATGCCTCTAGGTTCTCCACTTTGAAAAATGGAGATCAGCTCCATTTTGGAAATTACCTTAAGTTTAGGTTAACTGTATTTTCTACTAAAGCAAGAAAAAAAACTAAATATTTACCACATCAGTTACTGCTCTGTCTCTGGACTTTAGGACCAATACTCTGTGTGTCCTCTTCCTGACTAGGACGCTTCCCATTGCTGAGACCATGGCCCATGGAGCTTCTTCCTACATATTTAAAAATGTACATTTCAGATAGCAGAGGAGAAAATCCCAGTGTGCTCGCATGCTTCTTTCTTACCTTGCTTTAGCAGGTGTGCTTGTTGACTGTCTCCGTGAGCATAATGTAAAATACCACTTCCTTGAGAGCAACCTGTATTTAAAACAAAGGAAAATAATTTAAAATTTAGGATGTACACAGTAAGACTATAGAGCCAAAATTTTAATATTTTTATCTAAATTTACCTATATGCTTTTCTCAATCTTACCTAAGAGCCAAAAATCACACACCTAAATCAAGAAAACAGATTTACAGTTGACATGCCAGAGTGGATACAGGAAATGTCACAGGTCCCCACCTCAAGATGAAGAGCTAGCTATAGGGAATCAATGGATGCTGAGGGAGGAAGAATCAGTTTTCTCCAGGGACTAGCTCCCTGGGAGGTTATCTAATCCCAAATGGGTAACAAAGAGGTACACATGAGCACCGCTAAATGGACTCTGTGCATTATAATATATATGTATATTTTCTCTCTCTCTCTCTCTCTCTCTCTCTCTCTCTCTCTCTAGCTACCTATCATGTATCATCAATCAATCATCTATCTACCTACCTACCTACCAACCAACCTACCTACCTATCATTTATTATCTATCATCTATCTATCTATCTATCTATCTATCTATCTATCTATCTATCTATCTATCTATCTAATCAATGTGTGTATATATTTAATAATACCAGTCAAAGAAGAGGACAGATGAAATTGAGAGGGAGTTGGGCGACATGGGAGGAGTTGGTGGGGAACAGAAAGGGATGGAAATAATGCAAATATTCATGTATGAAAGTTTCAAGAATAAGTTTTTTTTTAAAAAGAAGGAAAAAAAGAAAACAAATTTAGACTGACAGTTAACAGTTTAAGGCAAAAATCACTGATTATCCGTATTTTTATTTTGTGCACTTAAGTATGCATGTGCAAGTGCATATGGAGGTCAGAGGTGTGGGATAGCTCCCCCTCCGGCACCTTGTTTTGAGTGAGGGAGGCTCTCTCAATGAGCCCAGAGCTTATCAATTAGCTGGACTAGCTGGCCAGTGAGCTCTCTGAATCCTAATCCCCACCCTTTCCCCCAATGCCAGGGTTATAGATGTGCATCACCACACTCAATTTTTCACATAACTGCAGGAGATTGAACTCAGGTCCCCATGCCCCATGATTACACAGTAAGCACGTCACCAGCCTCCCCAGTTTCTTGATTATACTTTTCTTTTTAAAAATATTTATTTTTAATTATGTGTGTGGGCACAAGTGAGTGCAGATACCACATGGAGACCAGAGGTGGCAGATCCCCCTGGAGCTGGAATACAGGCAGCTATGAGCCACCCAACCTGAGCGCTGAGAACTGAACTCAGGTCCTCAGCAAGAGCAGTATGTGGTCTTAATGGCTAAGCCCTCTCTCCAGGTCCCTCTTCTAACACAACTTTCTTTACCAGATGACAAGTGGAAACATAGCCATGAAAGCAAAACATGGGCAACAGTAAGAAAGACATCCTTCCTTCACACTTGTCCTTGTCTTCCACATTCTTCTGTCAGAGCCCTTCTAAAACAAATTTCATTAGAGATACGGGAGTAAGGGCATGTCAGCTGAGAGTTAAACAATTCAAATCAAAAGCAAAGACACACACCATGGAACAATTGCCTAAGCAATTGTATCAACCCTTCTAAAAAGGGAGAGCCTGTCTCAAAAGGACCAAACAAAAACAAAAATAAAAACACTGCCAAGGATCTCTGTGAGTTCAAGGCCAGCCTGGTCTACATAGTGAGTTCTGGGACAGCTGGGGCTACAGGGAGACCCTGTCTCAAAAAGACCAAAAAAAAAAAAACCCAAACAAACAAACAAAAAAACCAAACAAACACTGCCAAACAACACATTTTTATCAGTATTCCTAGATTAATATATGCAAACCAGGTACAATACACACCTGTAATCCCAGAACATGGTCCTCCTTATTTTAGGAGGACCAGAAATAAGTTCAAGGACACATCCTTGGCTACTACATGGTGAGTTGGAGGCTATATTGACTACTTGAGACTATATCTCAAAAAACCAACAACAACAAAAAACCACCCAAAAATCCTAAAGTGAAAACAACACTACCTACAAAAATAAAACAAAATCAAAATCAAAACAGAGAGACTGGGGAGTTGACCCCTTGTCAGTGGTGCACAAGAGAGGACCCTTCCTGGGCAATTCCTGTCTGGGAGTCCACTCTCAGTGCCCCTGGCCTGGCCTGCAGCCTCAGGGCGGGGCTCCAATGGGGTACCATGGGGGTTAAGGACACTACATGGACCTAGCCTTGGGTAGCATGCCTGCACTTCCCTGCCGTATGGATCACCCCCTTGCACAGAATGCTTGCTGCCCACTGATATCATCACAGACTGTACAGAGCCATGGTGGCTCACGGTAATGAGTCTGGGAGTGCTGCTGAGGCTTCTCTCACCACTGCCCCATACCATCATCTTGTCACAGGCACAGAAGAAAGTTTTGAGAAGCTTTTTAGTATAATTCACATATCATAAAATCCATCTGTTTTGCCAGACATGGTGGCATACGCTTTAATCCCAGCACTCTGGAGGCAGGCAGATTTCTGAGAGTTCAAGGTCAGCATGGTCTACATAGCGAGTTCCAGGCCAGCTGGGGCTATAGGGAGTTTTAAAAAAAAAAAAAAAAAGACCACCACCACCACCACCACAACAACAACCCCATCTGTTTTAAGTATAATTTAATGCATTAAAAAAAAAAACTTACAGAGTTGTGCAACCATCACACTTCCCATCATCCCTGGAAGACCCCTCATGCTCACTTGCATCCTATGAACTAGGCAAGCACTGACCTACTCTCTAAAGATCTGCCACTTCTAGAGAGTTCATTAAGTGTAGTCATGCTGTATGTGGTCTTCATGTCTGGCTCAAATTAACAGTGTTTTTGAGACTCATATATGTTATACATTTTGTTCTTTTTCATATGATTATACAGACAAGTTACATTTTTTACTACTATTAATGAATTTAAACTGTTATAAACAAGCAATTATTTGTTAACAGGTGGGATTTTTGTTGTTTTTTTTATGGGGGGAACTAACTGGAAATAGAATTTCTGGATGACAGTAAATTCAAGCTTTTTCACAAACTGCTGCTTCCCCAGAGCACTGATATCATTTTACGCTTAAGGATTCCAGGTGTGTGTCTGCTTTTTGGGGGGTCTCTGTCCCAATATTTAGCATTTTTTTTTCACTCTAGTGGGTATACAGTGACTAGCTTGTCCCAATTTGCCTGGTTCTTTCAGGTTGTAGCATTGAAAGTTCATGTCCCAGAAAACTCACCAATCCCAGACAATCAGCTGACAGATGGTCACTCTTAGTGGGTGTAAAGCACTGACTCACAATGCTTTTAATTTGCATTTCTCTGATGACTAATAGTGCTGATTAACAGGTAGTTTTTAATAGAAAAAATTAAACTAAAAATTTAATAAAAATGGAACCACAAACCCATATTGCTATTAGAAAACAGATGGTGGTCTATTTCATTATATATATAAAAAAGTACATTAAAGACATAATTTATGTATAGCTAATTCGTTTCCCGAGCACAAAAAAGTATAAGATGAAAATAAATAAATACAATTTCTATTATAGAGATTAAAAATTGTCCATAGTCATTAAAAAAAAATCCAAAAAAGAGAATGTAGCTTAGTGGTAGAACGCTTGCTTAGTACGCATCAGGGCCTGAGTTCAATCTGCAGAACTGCATATAAAACACAACTAAAAAAAGATAGAGAATTTTGAACACTGACGTGCTGTCTGTTAAGGTACTGTAAAATAAAAGCAAAAGGTTAAGTGTTGGCCACAAAGGAAAATACTTTGAAAGCACAGAAGTCTTCTCAAGTGGAGTAGAAACCTGACAGGAGAAATGTTTAAATACTACAGTTCAAATCCTAAGGATCTTTCTGTAACACTCCAGTTTCTTGTTCTAAATGTCCTTTCCTCTATCTATTAAAAAATTACTAATCCTACCATCTTCCAAGAAAATGCCTCCAGTTCTTTTAGCTCTCTGATTTCTCCCTTTTCTCCTATTTCATTAGAGACAATGACTTAACAATTCATTTGTTTTAGTTTTTCCTCTACACCCCCATTTAGACGCTTATGTCTTGTGAAAGTCTTGGAGAACCCAGCTCCAAACTGTGTTATAGCACATATTTACATGATTATAGTAAGCTCAAGATTAATTATTTGATACCATCAAAAACTATCCTATGTTTATAAACTTAGGAAGCAAAACTATCCCAATTTAACTTGCTGTCAGGATTAGCTCTGAAGATAATTCCAAATAGAGGCTTCAGGTCTGAGTGGACTAAGAAGCAGTAGGTGCCATTCTCTATCAGCTGGGATGAGCCTGCTGGGGCCCGCCCCTCCGCTTTCTGCCTGTTATCTTAATGCTTCACAGAGCTTTTGTCTCTCACACTTGTGTGTGGGCTGACAAGGTAGGGTGTAAACTGAAAAAGAGATCTCAAAGAACTGTCAAATGGTATATTGAGATTTACTTCAAATGGTAAGAGACCTAGGAAAGAATATTTCTGTAGAAAACTGTCATCACTGTCAACTGGGTGAGTCATATTTCAGTAATGAAACATTACCTTATAAACAATGCATATGAACATTATATTAGCAGAGAATGCCCCACGAGGCAGAAAATGAGAGTTGGATTCCCATCTTAGTTCAACTACTTTTTAACTATGAGATCTTGTTTGAGTTGCCTAACCTGTGTAGGAATATTTTCTCAACTGTAAAGTAAGAATACCACCAGTGCCTCCCCAGAAGGTTATTGTGAAGGTGAAGACAAAAACATCCCCTATTTCTGGGTACAAGGTAGGCACTGAAAATATGTGTTTATTCTTTCCTCACAAAATTAACTCTTGACATGCTACTTTCATAGACAGAATCTTTCTGATTTATAAATGTTTACTTTAAAAAGATTTTATTCTCCAATTGGAGATATAGTGTAGTATGAAAAGCACTTGCTCACCATGTAAAAAACCCTGGATCTAATTCTCAGTACCACAAAAAAAAAAGAAAAAAGGACTTTATTCTTAATACAGTTTAGAACATGTACCTTAAAAAAAAGCACTTCTCAAATACTGCCTTGTTTTGACTCTAATTACTTAGCCTCCTGCTAGAAAACTGACATAATGATTTAAATTTCCAGTACACACTGAAATTTAAAAAAATGCATTTTTTTCTATTTCTGTGTATGTGTATATCTACATATGCATATGTGCATGAGCATGTGGGTGCCAGTGGAGGCCAGAAGAGGGCACAGGATCCACTAGGGTGGAGTTATAGGTGGCTGTGAGTTACAGATGTGGGTTGCTGGAACTAAACTCAGCAGTGCTCTCAACCTCTGAGCCATTTCTCCAGTCCTCATACTGACTTTTGATACTATTGTCACATATATTTAAAACTTACATGATAACTAAATACTATCACAGAAAAGTCTTTGTAAGACTGATGTCTGAAAGGCACAATGTATGTATTTGGTAAACCCTTTGGCTGTGCTTAAGGACTACTAACCTGATAAACTTCCTTTAGCTGATCTGTCCCTACAGAGTAAAAAATGATGAACATTCTCAAAACATAAGATCTGAATTTCATTTTACACTGAAAATTGGTCTTGATGGGTGTATAGCTCAGTGGTAGAGCACTTGCCTAAGTTTGCTTTCCAGCACCACAAGACAAAGCCGGGTATCATTCAGTTTATAGGAATTTTAGCTTGACACAGTATCTGCTACATGTAATAGCACCTCCCATCTTTAAAATGTTATCCATGGAGTGAGGGGAAGTGTTTGTGTACACTTGTACATACAGGCGCAAACAACTAAAAATATTTAAGACAGACTTTTAAAATAAAATCTGTTGCAATAAGGTTCAAGACACAAGGCTTATGACTGTTAATCTCCTTATGTTACCACGTACAGAAATTCCCTTTTCAACTTACTTCCACTGCTGCTACAATTTGGGATATTTTCTCCAGGAGTATACCCCATGAGACCTCCATTTCCATTAGGGTTAGAAGGTACTGATGCGAGAAGACCTAAAGGGAAACATTGTCTTATTAAATTATGACCAAGACAAAATTCAATGACAGACACATAAAGTGTTGACAAAGAAACAAATCAAAGGCAGTTTCTGACATACCTAGTCCTCTGTATCGTGAAAGCTGCTGATAGATCTGCTTCATTCTTTCAATATTCAAACGGCTTGCCTCAGCATGGTTCACCATTGGTTTGGGGTAATTAACTCCTATCAAGCATTTGGCTACTTTTTGGATACCTTCTGGTGCGTTCCAGGGATCATATATATATTTTGCAGGGAAGCCTCTTAGGACAGGCAAATACCGCCTTTTGGGATAAGACAATTTTTTAATGAAAATGAAATGCACTAAAAGCAAATTACAACAATTTAAGAGCGATGAACAACAAAAATCAAATTAATACTACTCAAATGATCTTTTTACCTCTCTCCTCATCTCTGCTGCCCATCACAAATACAGAACACTTTACTGCTTAAACATGAAAAGTTCTTCCTTGGATTAGCTACACCAAACGGAATGATAATCATCTGACTTACCTGATATAGTCTCCATTGGGATCTGTCCTCCTACCAAAACCAACAGGGCAATAGCAGTGAAAAAATTGTTGGAAGAAGGAACTACAAGACAGCCACATCCAGCTTCCGGCATTGATGCTCCAATCTGCGTCAAGCAGCAACTCTTCAAACACCTTCAGGAATAACATTAACCAGTTAGTCTACACACAGGATTATCTCAAAGTAGCAGTTTGGAGGTCACTGGAGATCAAAAGTCAAAACAAGAAAATCTAAAATAGAAATGTAAAATTAAACATTCCAAAATTAGCTTCTTTATCTGTTCTGCTCTATAAAAAGCACCTTCAGAGAAAGAAATACACTGGTGAGATAGATATCTGAACAAAATTTACTTCTATAACCTTGGAAGTGCTATTGTAAATAGAGTAATAAATTACTCAAATCATTGATTTTTAAGGGATTATAAAATATTAGTAGGTAAAGTAGTAAAACCACATTTAAGAAAGCAAAAATACTATCAATTCACAAACAAAAATATTTCATTAAGATAAAGGGAGCATATATAAATATATATGACATATTTTTTGGGGGGGCTTTTTGAGACAGGGTCTCCCTGTAGCCCCAGCTGGCCTGGAACTCACTATGTAGACCAGGCTGGCCTTGAACTCTGCCTCTGCTTCCCAAGTGCTGGGGTCAAAGGTGTGCGCCACCACGCCCAACCTATATGATAGTTTCTAAATGCACTAACATTACAGTTTAAACCTGATCCAAAAGAATATAATTAAATACCATTTTAATAAATTTAAGTAGGTAATAGGAGATAAACCTGATTTTAAAAATATCTTATTATTTTTATTTTATGTGTATGAATGTATTGCCTGCATGTATGTGAGTGTACCCATGTTGTACAATGCCGCTGCAGAGGTCACAAGAGGGCTTCAGATTCCCCTGGAACTGGAGTTAAGGACAGTTAGTAGCTGCCATGTGGGTGCTGGGAATCGAACCTGGGTCCTCTGCAAGAGCAGTCAGTGCTCTTAACCGCTGAGCCATTTTTCCAGCCCTGATAAACCAGATTTTAAAAAAAGAAGGAGAATGAGAAATAATCCTTGAGGGGCTGGTGAGATGGCTCAGGGTAGGAGCACTTGCTATCAAGTCTGACAATCTGAGTTTGATTCCCAGAACTCACATGGTGGAAGGAGAGAACCGACTCCCACAAGTTGTCCTCTGACCTCCACATGTGCACCATGGCACGGAAGAGCGTGCATGCGTGCGCGTGCACGCGTGCGCGCACACTCACACACACACACACACACACACACAATAGTAATAATAATAATTTGTGGTATAGCTAAATGGTAAAACATATGTAGATATAAGTGTGGGACTGGACAGATGGCTCAGCAGTTAAGAGCACTGACAGCTCTTGCAGAGAACCTGAATTTGGTTCCCAGTACCCACATGGTAGCTAACAACCATCCATAACTTCAGTTCCAGGGGATCTGACACCCTATTCAGGATTCCAAGTGCACTGCACTGATGGGTTTACTTACATACATACATATAAAATAAAAATATACAAATAAATACAATTTTAAACCATATGTAAATCTTTCTATGTATAACTACATCATATGTTACAAAATGCAGTATGCTTTATGTAATTAAGGTATTACTAAAACAATGGTTTTATAGCTTGAAGTTTATTATATGAATTCTACCCCCCCCCCCTTTTTGGTCTTTTTTAGACAGGGTCTCCCTGTAGCCCCAGCTGACCTGGAACTCACTATGTAGACCTGGCTGGCCTGGATCTCACAGAGATCTGTCTACCTCTAAGTGCTGGGATTAAAGGCATGTGCCAACCACACTGAATTCACTATTTCTAAGAACTCTTAGAATACTTTTTGTGACAGAAATGGTCATCTATAAATATACCTATCTGATCTGAGTGTTACTTTTTCTTTTTCCCCACAAGGATAGGGTCTTACTATGCTGTAGCCCAGGCAGCCCTGACTAACTAATGTAGCATGGGATTATAGGCTTGTAACAGTTTTCTTAATGGGAAGTTGGTTTAACCAGTGAAGTGGCTTTTATTCAATCAATTTGACCAGTTCCTGGTCTGATTTTACCATCTTGCTTTCCAAAAGTGTACCTATGTTCTGGGAATTTATTTACTGAAAAACCAAACTGTAAATGACTCTAAAGAACACACATCTCTACTGTTCCCTGTCTCCCACAGTGTAGGCTGGCTAGAACTCACTCTCTAGGCCAAGATGACTTTGAATTTGTGGAGCTTCTCATTTCTCAGCCTCTGGAGTTGCTACAGTTACAGATATCTGCTAGCACATCCAGCGTATGTATGTATGTATGTATGTATGTATGTATGTATGTATGTAAGTGCACCTGTGTCATGTAATACCCACAAAAGTCAGAAGAGGGCAACGAATCCCCTGGAACTGGAGTTACAGATGGCTTAGCTGCCATGTAGGTCCTGGAAATCAAACCCTGGTCCTCTGTAAGTAGTCAGTGCTCTTAATCACTGAGCCACCTTTCCAGCCCCCAGAAACTTTTAAAGTAGCTACAAATTTCTTCCAAATACTATAACTAAAATGCTACATTAGTTAGAAGACTTACCTTCATTCCTTCTTCCCAACTAATCCATAGGTCACCTCTTGTCAGGAAGCAAGCAACAGCATGTCTAGCTAAATGGTGAATCCAGCCCTCCTGACGAAGCTGGGTCATGATGGCATCAATCCATGGAAAGCCTGTCCGGCCTTCTGCCCATTTGGCTAAAGCCTCAGGATTCTTATCCCAAGGAATCTGGACACAGATGGGGTTTCCTTCCATTTTATCAAAGCGTGGATTATTTGTTGCTGCTGTGTAGAAAAATTCACGCCATAGGAGTTGCCCATAAAGAGAAAGGGGAGGGGAACTATTTTTCTTTACCTGCAATTGAAAAGCAAGGAAGTATTATCAGCGTTTTAAAAAAAGTACTTCAGGGCTGGAGAGATGGCTCAGTGGTTAAGAACACTGGTTGTTCTTGCAGACGACCTGGGTTCGAATCCCGGCACCTACATGGCAGCTAACAACCATCTAACTCCAGTCCCAGGGGATCTGACAGCCTCTTCTGACCTCTGTAGGCATTGCATGACATGGGTGCACTTATCTACATGCAGGCAATACATGCATACACATAAAATAAAAATAATAAATAAATTTTTATTAAAAAATACTTCAAAAATACACTCTAACTTTAGATACCTTTTTGTAGAGATCTGTTAGCTTGAAATAAAACAGCCGACATGACAAACAACCAAATCGGAGGTAAGGACTAAGTCCAGTAGGGCTTGCAAGCAGTGAATTTGCATTCATTCGAGGTCTTTCAAAGTTTGCCACCCAAGCCTGAAAATACATACAGACAATTATAGTAACTGCTTTACTAATGTAAAACCAATGTTCAAAGCTAGGCCAGTGAAATGGCTTAGCGGGTAAAGAAACCTGCCCCCAAGCCCGAAGACATGAGTTCAATATCCTGGTCCGACATGATGGAAAAAGAGAATTGATTCCCACCAATTATCCTCTGATCTCCATATGTGCACCATGGCATGTGTGTGGATGCATTCTAGCATGTCAGAAAAATAAACAATAATTTAATTAAAAAGTGTTCAAAATTGAGAATTTAAAAAATTACAGTTCTTCAGGAGTAAGTTACTCTAGCCACAAATTTCTGGATTTAGTAATTTTAAAAAGGTGATTTTAAAAGGTAAGCATTCTTTCGTTTTTAGCCATCTGTGTGCAGTGCACACTCATGTGAAATAAATGGCCTTCACCTTCCCAGCACAAGACTTAAATAACCTTGAATGAGCCTCTTTGGCATTGAGGTGAAGGTAAAATTCAGTAGTAGCCCTTCTCTACAGTTTCCTTTCTAAGGATTTCAGATACTTATGGTCAACCAAAGGTGGTTGGAAAACATCAAAAGGAAAATTCCACAAATAAATAGCATTGGTTTTAAATGACTTATTATAATATAGGTTCTATGTTTTACTATTATTGTTGCTAATCTGTTAATGTGCCTGACTTATAAAGTAAGCTTTATTAAAACTGACCTGATAGGAAATGGGAAGGATATGTGGAGGGGAGGTGAAGGCAGAAGGATGGATGGATAATGAATGCATGTAAGAAATAGCACAGTGAGTCTCCTCAATTTGTACAATTCCTATGTGTTAACAGTAGTAACAATAAATTAAACTTTACCATAGGCATGTATGTAAAGGAAAAAGCATGATAAATACGAGGTCTGAATTTATTATGTGGCTTCAGGAATCTACTGGAGTTCTAGATGTATCCCGCATGGATAGAGGAAGAATCCTACTCTAATTTCAAAGTTATGGCCAGGTGACACAAGCACAGGTAGAAGAAACAGACGCGTAGCAAAAGGGGACAACCCAAAGAGGCTGGAAAGGACATTTAAATGATGAGCTTGATGTTAGCTTTCAAACTATTAGATTTGTACTATTTTAACTATTTCTATCAATATTTTTTTTCCAAAGAGGGTATTTTTTGTTTTTAAAAGAGAATAAAATAGTCTATGGCCACACTACCCTGAATGTTCCTGATCACATGTTAATGAGTGAAATCATTTCTGAAATGAGTCTTGAAATACAAGCAAGGCTATAAGGTCTACATGATCATACTTTTCTTTCCAAGTGTCTTTCCAGACGTGTAAGTGCTTCAGTTTCCCCTCCTGGCCACACTGCAGAGGATAAGCCATCTGTATCAAATCCTAAGAGAAAGAAAATTTTTATTATTATACTATGAAAATAGTTTTTCACCTGACCACAGTAGTTTGGGGGACAAATTTCTGTGTAGAAAATATGAGAGCAGAATAAGAATCTCCAGGACCATGTGGCCCTGCCCTCCAGTGACCAGTGTGGTTGGGAACAAGAGGCCACATATTTACAGAATACACAATGAACAAAATGCTGTTTATGAGGTATTTTTTCCCCTTACTTTTCTCCTTTCCTAATAAAATACATTAGAATTTGAATTTTTGGAGTTATTTATGATTATTAACTCTTTTTAACAAAATATTTTATTCTGTGAGAAGTTCACATAATGTATTTTGATTGATCATCTTCCCCCCTTCCCCCTCACTCCTCTCAGATCCACCCACATCCTCCCTACTCCTCCAACTTCTTGTCCTTCTTTTTCCCCCAATAACCCATCAAGTCCAATTTGTGCTGCCTGTATATTCCCGGGTGGCTCTTCAGCTCCATATTTTTTTTAACAGCTTATACCCACCTAACTCTTCCAGTGAAGGGACTCCATATTTCTCGTCGTGGTCATCAGATAGTGGAGTTGTGCACTTCTCGATCACTTCTGAAGTAATTGTCTCTACTGGTATCTCCAGTGGTTCCATTTTGCTGATGAGAGTTTGAAATCTTTTATAAGTTAGAGGTGGCTGTCCACCATTCAGTTCTATGATCCTATTACAAAAGTTAGTAAAATAAAGTTAGTAAAAAAATGACAATATATTTGGTTGATAAGCTCTGAAAAGGCTTAATATCAGAAAATTTATCATTTAAGACTTTGTGAATGTTAGCTTCTGATATGACCAGAAAATGTGTTCAAATGGTTAATGAGTCTAAAAAATCATTCTCTTTTATTTCCTAGATATCCACTACGTGTCAAATACTATAGAATGCAGACATCAAAACACTGATGACAATGAATATTAAGGACTTAGGAGGGCTGAAGAGATGGTTCAAGTGGTTAAGAACACTTGCTGCTCTTGCAGAGAAACTCGGGTTTGATTCCCAGCACCCACATGGTGGCTAACAACCAACCATAACTCCAGTTCCAGGGGATCCAACACCCTCTTCCAGCCTCTGTGGGCACTGCATGCTCGTGGTGCACTTATATGCATACAGGGAAAACATTCATACATATTAAAAAAAAAGAACTCTTTATGAGTATGAACTAGCTGAGTGGTTCACCTAGCCTACAGGCTGTAATATGTAAAAAATTAATGCACAATGGAAATGTGAAAAACTTATGACCCAATTCAAGGAATTTCTCAGTCATCAATAAAACTAAACCAGGACAATTACACCAAGAAATAATCAGTAAAAAAAAATTTGCTCGGTATATTTGAGGTTTACAAATACTGTTACAGAAAACAAACAGATAAAAGTTACTACTGAAAAGCAAATTATTTATAGTCTCAGTTACTTTTTTTGTGTCAGGAGTAGTTAAAAATCTATGCACTCAGCAAAACTTCCAAATGCAGTATTATTTTATTAACTGTAGTCCATGGTGCACCCTACATCTCTAGGCTTTTATTATACCCTAAGTGTCTACTACTTTAAACAAATTTAATTATTATTTTTATTTTTGTGTGTAAGAATGTATTGTTTGCATGTATGTTAAGTGTACCGGTGTCACGTAATGCCCATGGAGGTTGGAAAAGGTTGTTGGATCTCCTGGAACTGGAGTTATGGACAGTTGTTAGTCACCATGTGGGCGCTGAGACTTGAACCCAGGTTATCTTCAAGAGCAGCCAGTGTTCTTAACTGCTGAGCCATCTCTCCAGTCCATGTATCTGCTACTTTTTATCCTTTTACTTTCATCTCCCATTTTCTCTATTGAATTTTATTAAGATTTTATATTACTGTAGTGAAAATTACTTGCTATTTTCTATCGTGTTCATGCCCTTGTTAAAGATTTTAGTATTTGTGTCACATGTAGTAGTAGTCCCTTCTCTGAGTTTTTGTTTTCTGTGGTTTCAGTTATTTCTGTCTAATTATGGTATTAAAAATATTATCTGGCTTGACTCACATAAATTTATCATAGCATAGTATTATAATTGTTATTTTATTATTAACTTCCTAAAATTTATAACTCTCTTAAATTATAAATAAAACTTTAAGTGTGCATATAAAGACAAAAAGGTATATACAAGATTTAATGCTGTCAGTGGTTTGGGGCATCTGCTGGGGCTTTTGGAACGTCTCTTCCATGGATAAGGAGTCAACTAGTGAGGATATGAATCCCCAATTTCACGTTATTTAAATTTAAGTACCTTATACACTTATTTCTAATGACAAATTACACTTCAATTTAATCATACTTCAAGGAAAAAAAAGCATTGCTAAAGATAGTTTGGATTTGGTTTCGACACTGTTCTGGAATAACTAATTAGGCTTTTTCATTCTAGCTATTTGCTTAGAATTATAGGTAAAATCCAACTTCACCATTTTATAGATGTAGAAATAGACACCATATACTGGAGTTAAATAAATTAGCTAAGATCACATAACTAATAAAATGGCAAATCGAAGATTTCCTTATCCAAAACAGAATGTAATTTTCTTTATACCAAGTATAATTATCAACTATGTACAGAAAGAAACCACCAGAAAACTCTCTGCTATGAGTAAATTTTGTTTTGTCATAATATCTTAAGATTATATACAGGGTTATAATGAATTT